AAAGCTATGGCAAGTGTGCTGTATCCTCTGCACCACCCATAACCACCCAACAGATAAATGATGGAGTTTGTTCTTCTAATGTTGCTAAAAGATAATCAACAATTTTGTACAAAATCTGATACAAAATAAGAGATGGCGAGTACCTGTAAAAGGGGAGATAAGTTTTTTGGTGTTTTGCACTGGGATATGAAGTTGTGCAAAATGTTTCTGCCTGAAATCACAGATAAGATATCAGATTTCATTATTTTACTTACATTTTTTTCTGATATAGCTCTCGGATAAACATTGATGGGTTTCTCATTTTCAGTCGAAGTCTACCGGTAATTATTTAATTTGGAGAAAAGGATTTTTAAAATGTCATTGTCAGTCTGTGTGTATTGATTCCACACTTGTGTTGGCAGTAGAGTAATTTCAAAAACTGTGAAACAGTCATTCTAATAAGTTGATTGAAACAGTAAATTTCTGTCTCTCTGACAGAAAATAACTACAAATCATCGCATCAAGGCTTTCTCCTCGACAGATGTGAGGGAAGTGACACATTACAGCAAAATCATGGCCAATAGAATTCAAAGTGGCCAAGATTAATTGGTTTTCAAAACTCCTCCATAATAACGATATAAATCTTCCCTGGCTTATCGCTAGTACCTGCCAGAGAATTTTATATGGTCTTTTTATATTGCAGAGCTGTATATAGAAAATTAAAATTAGGAAATAAAATGCAGATCTGTTGAAATGAATGAATGATTATACTGGTAATAATAAGTATTCACATCAAATGAAGTAGATTATATTTCAACACTTTTGGTTGGAATTTTTCTGTTTATCCCTCCTGTTGTGTTACAATCAACACAAAGCAATGACATCATTTGTTCATAAGCAGATGAGGTCAATTTATACCCTGGGTCCGAAAAAAACAAAAAAACTTGTAAGCCTAACTCAAGTGCCTGTATTCATGAAATCGTTCTCATGCTTAAGCATGGATTTTGTGCTCAAACCAATTTTCTAGTAACCCTCTTAAATCATGTCAAATGATCAAAAAGTCAAATGTAAACATTAAAAACAGTATTCACCTTTAAGTCTCTTATTCCCCACCCCCACCCCCACCCCCACCCCCAAATGCATGAGCACAAAATCCATGCTTGAGCACAAGAACGGTTTCATGAATACAGGCCCTGGAGTTAGGCTTACAAGGTTTTTTGGTGTTTTTTTGTAGAAACAATTCCACTTAATTAGTTGTAAGGGAAAGTTTTTCTTTCCCAACAAAGGGGTTGATACAGGTCCAGCTCTTGACAGTCTGACATATAGATTAGAATATTTTCCCTCAGGTCGAGGAATGATTTTCAGATTCTGTTTCTTCATCATGATGCATGATAACAGATAAATCCACGATTCTTACCTCCCCTGAATAAAATTTTGCAGCCCACATTAAAAAAAGAAAATAAATTCTATATAAAAATATGGACAAGTTATCTGTCTGTGTTTGTTAGGTGTCTCGTTAACACGGAATGATATATGGCGGAAGATTGACAACCATCACAAAGATAGCATTGTTGTAGCCCTAGTACGGGACACTGCAGGGAGTCTCAATTGTGTACCTAGTTAGGGCGGCATGCAATATCGTAATTAGATTGAATAAAAATTCAATTCTACTGCTGCATCATTTTTCATTTTGATAATGAAATTATCTAACATTAAAAGTTAAAAAAAAAATGTTTAAATACCTAGGGAATTTCCTGTTATAGTCACTCTGAAGGACTTCTCCCATTGCAAAGCTGACCAACATATAAAAATATTCTAATGGTATATTTTAATCAAATATTTTTTGGAAATTATAATGATAAATCCATTATTTATGTATAAATAAAATCTCATTTGAGATATTTACCGAATTGATGATACTTATTTTAACATAATAAGGCGATCAAACACATAATTTTTTGGTTTTGAACAACTACATAATTTGAAATAATTACAAAATTAATACATGTATGTGTGTTATGGTACGCGATTCTTGACCAGTGCAAAAGGAAATTCAAAAATATTGAATCCCTTCCTCGTTCATTGTGAGACTGGATGTGGTGACCAATACTGGGTTGGGCTAGTCTATTGCGTTGTCGGAGAGTCCAAGTTTAGTGCACAAAAGCGGGGGATACAGGATATCACATCAGACCATAACTTGGGAAATACAATTACACACAAATTGTTGAATTGAATTCAAGTCAGTAATTAATGTCAAATTACTCCATAGAAAATTGATGTTATACATGTGCGAAATAATACAATCTTGATATAAAGCAAATGGTTTAATCATTTCACAAGCATGCATGCATGAAATGAAATCGGCATGCTAAAGAAATGATTTATCCACACATTTGGCAAATTGGAAATCCAGAGATGATGACCAGGAATCCCTAGATATGATGGAAAAAATCTCAAAACCAGGGTCGGTGGTAATTTGATGGAATGTGTGAAGTTTTCTATATGCATGGCATGGCAAGGCCAGCTGCCATCATGTTAGATTGACCCAGATGTGATAAGGAATCTTCCGATTCCTCCCGACTCTGATGACGCAGAGTTTCATCACATGCGTAATATTCTAAAGTCATGGCTTTGATACTAGTGATCACATATAAGATTTTTTTGATGTTTTTTACACTGAGTATTTAATGTGTTAAGTAATTAAACTATCAAGCATTGAGATTTTTTGTGTGTGTTTGTTGGATTAAAAATAACTTTCGGATCCGTATGTTGTTCATAATGTCGATTGTTAAAGATAACGATGACAACTTTTTATAGTGTTTGATGCCCAAGTGTCCAGTCAGCTTTTAAAAAAATAACGATTGGAATTTTTTTTGTATAAAACATTATTCTAGAATCTGAAAAAAATATGGGTATGATGTGGTGTGGTAAAATATGTTAATTTGGCAACGTAAAAAATACGCAGCAAATTTGATGAAATGATGCGGAAATTAACAATTTTCATTTGCAAATAATGTAATAAATACCGTTAAAGCTGGCTTTATTTAAATAGAGGTGTCACAGTCGTCATCCTGTCAGTGTCTGATCTGGTTTCCGGTAGCGATTGTAACGCCATCTGGTGGTAGCAACAGAATTCAATCTTCACATTGTAATTCAGATGTAAAGTCATCAATAGTCAACTGCTTTGATTAACATGAACTCATGGCTCTTTAACCCTTTCACCCCTATGTAACTTTAGTAGACTCTCCCATGCATTGATCTGGATGAGTCCATTATGGTCTCCAGTGGTGAAAGGGTTAAGTTGCAAAAACCAATGACATGTCTTTTATGATAACTTGGCTTTTAATATATTTGGAATGAATTCTTTTATTAATTTCTATGTACATGTAGTATGCACAAACATTCGTTCACGTATTTTAGAAGCAAAAAGTTTTTCTACATTTCTTTGCAAAATCATATTTTTTTAGAGTACCCCCTGTTAGTATCTTCTTATTTAATGAAAACATTTGGTCAAGTTTTGATATCTTAGTGAATTATTTCCAGTGCTCCCTGATGAACCTTATAACAAGTGTTTGATGCCCCAAGTATCCGGATAACTGTGTTGAGCGTTAGTCCAAGCAGGGACTGTGTTTTGTGTCCAGCCCAAGACAAACCAAAGTCTATGAAATTCGTACTTATTGCTATATGCCTGTCGTTAAACTTTATGTTGGTAAAAATATGGACTTGTTTACGCGTCGTGGTCGCTCTCTAAAATCGTCGTCAGATCTGTACTGCCTACAGCATAATCACACACATGCACGCATGCAACACACGCAGAGGTGTACATCCTTTAATGACATTAACTGCTGATTGGACGCTAGACCAAAACCAAGCATCATATCTGCTGTAACTAATAAATCAAATACATCAACATACCCAGCCTCCAGTACACATATAAATTACACACAGGCAAATTACACACAGGCAATTACATCACCATACCCAGCCTCCAGCACACATACATACTACAATGTATATACATTACACACATGGAGGTATGTCCCTAAATGACCTTTATGCTGTTGATAGAACGCTAGACCAAAACCAAGCATCATATCCGCTGTAGCTTTTAAGTCAAATACATCAACATACCCAGCCTCCAGTACACATATAAACTACACACAGGCAAATACATCAACATACCCAGCCTCCAGTACACATATAAATTACACACAGGCAAATCAACATACCAAGCCTCCAGCACACATACATACTATATACATTACACGGATGGAGGCACGTCCTTAAATGACCTTAGACGTTAATACGACGTTAAACTCAACAAACTACTAAATCATGATTTGCCTTTTAACACTGTTAAATGTCAATGGAGTTGCTTGACAGGCATAGAAGTCAGTAACCCTCAAGTCAGATGTACATGTGTTATCCCGTGTTTTATTGTTGTAAAGATGATTTGTCCTTTCCTATACCAGCGCGACATTGACCTGTTTCCGCACCGTTCTATACATTGAGTTGATGAGGTGAAGGGAAGCCCTATATCTTCTCCTTCTATATTAGATTTTCTATCCAATCAGATCGTATGCTGGGAACTTTAGCTAGGGTCAGAATGTAGGCCATTACAGAAATTGTATTGCTTCTTCTAATTGTATTCTCTCTCGGTTACAGCTGCTCTGAACTCAAGGCACCAAGAATGCATGGACTTGCTAAATATTATTGTTAAATATTTATCGTTCCACGTAGTATATACTTCATCCCCAAATCACACAGTTACCTAGTTCAGTCATGATTATTGCATATTTTATAGTGAAACATTAAAATTGTTCAAGATTTGCTCATGAATAAATCGTTCTGAGTATATGTACATTGTATTTAAAGCAGAGACAGTCATCACTCCATCCTTGGAGATCAGTCTCTTATTGAAAGAAGAGGAAGAAGAAGCAGGATTCACTGTTTCGTAAGAAGCAAGAAGTAAGAAGTTGCTGTATACATGGTATAATTCGTTCAACTGTTGTATATTTCAGGCCCACAACATGCTGAGGTTTTTCTTTGACAAGCTGATGCCAGGAAGTCAAGTAGAAATTGTATAAACGGCGGCGAAACGATGAAAGGAGGTAACTCAGGAACACACAGGAACCCATGAACAGTAAAAAAAACAGATGGTGGAAAACATATTTTTTTTAAATAAATGAAATCCATATGCAGTTTGAAGTTAGGAAGGATTATTAAACAGGGAGAAATCTACAGCATCTGGATAAATTGTGTATTAAGAAGGATAGACAGTATTAGAGGGAGTTAAATGGACAATTTAGTCAACCGGGCCCTGAATTCTTAACATTAAGGTCCTTCTCAAGTATTGAAACCAGTATTTACGGGCTATTTTCCTTATTGCATTGATTGAAATAGCAGGGTTTATGAATTTCTGTTAGGGGATTATCTTTTGAAATAACACGATGGAAGAATGGCTGAAAGTTTAATTCTAAAACACTTGAGAGAAAATGTGAAATTTAAAACTAATTAAATGGAGAACATTCGTCGAGTCAGGAAGTTTTGTGAAACCGAAGCCACAGCACTTAAAAGGAGAGGGGCAATATATTTAAAATACAAAATGTACAAAGGAAAACGGCCTAGTTTCTTAGCCAAAGGACAGGTAGGCTCCACATGATATGGCAATGCGTAAACAATTAATATATTCCTTTATAAATTACTGATTACATCATTAACTATGTAAGAGTATCACTTTGTCGAAGGAATATATTTCTGATAAAATATTGACATGTGAATTATATTGCCACTTTAGTATGACAGAATATTTTGTACTTGTTATCACTTTATGTGTTTGTTTTGCCATGGTTTGAATTTAAATCTTCACATATATTTGTAATATTTTCTGATTTGGAATTCAAATAAAACATGTACATAAGAAATCTAGATAAAGATAGAAAATTGGAATTTTGAATAATTTTAAGTTTCTCCGTGTTATTAATGTGTATTTGCTATTTAACCATTAATTTCTGACCATTGACTTTGTTAATATAAAGAATGATATAATTTTTTATCATATCAGGCATTTTCAGGAATATTGAACGAATTTAAAGATATTCATCATAGCATGCAATCCTATATCTTGTGTTTTGTGGCAAAAGATGTGGATAAATTTCATCCAAATTAAGTTCATTGTTCTATATAAGCAATTCTTAGATCATTAGTGAGGATGAGTGTGATAGGAATACATGTACGTGTATGAGCTGTTTTTTGATTTATTGTCGTATCTGATTGGTTATCCAGTCAGAAACCATCTGATTAGTAGGCGTACCTGATTGGTTATCCAGTCAGAAACCATCTGATTGGTTGTCGTACCTGATTGGTTAGCCAGTCAGAGACCATCTGATTGGTAGGCGTATCTGATTGGTTAAACAATCAAATGACATCATCTGATTAGTTGAAATGATAGGTTGGTTGTCGTATCTAACTTGTTGTCCAATCAAGGACAATCTGATTGGTTATCCAATCAAGGAACATCGTCTGATTGGTTGAAGTGGTAGATTTGTTGTTGTGTATGAAAGGTTATCACATCAGGGAACATTATATTGGTTGTACAGTGTGGACTTTAATAAACAAAACAAAAAGGTATTCCGTCCTTACAGTGTGATATTTACATAATTTATTTAGATATTTATAATGTCGAAGGATCTCCAATGGACTAGATTTGTACTTTTCATCATTCCATCATCCTTGTTTTGTGTGTTTCGTTACAAATTATTAGTGCTGTTTCACATTTTCAACGCCTCGCTTAAAGCAGTATTAAACAATAAACATGTATCATTAAAAAAATGTATTTATATTTTCATAACTATTGTGTCCCTATCAAATGGTACTAGAGTTCATGAATATTTATGGTTTGAAAAGTGAAGCATCTATTTTTTCAAATCACTATTTTTCTGTATGAATTGTTTATATGAATATATACCTTTTGTGAGTAACTACTTCAGAAGTTTTTTACGATGTTGATAACTTCATGCATTGGAATATTTAAGGCCAGACGGTGTATATAAATTTGGCGGATGAACATGTGTTCATCAATAAAAAGTTCCAATTGTAAAATATAGAAGCACTACCATTGGGTATAAACAGACAGTTCTTGTCAAAATGATTTTGTGTTTGGAATGAATTGATGTTTTGTTGATTTTCAAACACATCAAGAAAGCAATCGCATAATTTCTATAAAATGTTTTTCAAAGTATGTTAAAACTTTACTTCACGATTTTATGTTTCGAACTCTGTCGAAGTTGGATTCATTGGAACTTGTCAAATTTAAGCTGTTTCATTTGCCAATGAAATTAATTGGTTAGCATTTGCACTGTGAGCATAACAAAAAATATTTCACATGTAGAGTCAGCGATTTTACCTCGGCATTGCTACGGATTACAATACATATCAAAATTTAACATTTTTTAACCCTTTCACCACTGTAGACCATAATGGACTCATCCAGATCAATGCATGGTAGAGTCTACTAAGGTGAAAGGGTTAAGTAGAAATGTATGGACTTATATTTTGTTACGAAGTTTGATGAGGGATGAATTGAGTTGGAATTGGGGCAAATTCAACATGATTTCAAAATGAAGTGATCACAGGTCATCATTCATAAACAAAATGTTAAACAGATTTGTACATCGCTGTCTGTTTGTTGGTCTTATAGGAATTATTCTTTTTAACCATTCTCAATCAAACTGAGAGATGGTGCCAACCAGTGGATTTATTTCGTTTGCATTGCCATGTTAAATTTGTTTCAAAACCATCTCAATTCAAACTCGACAATAGCAGGATTCGATCTTCCGAAGACTTTGGAAGAGGAATGTGTAATAAGTGTGAATTTAATAAATCGACATATCATTGTAAAAAAGGTTGTCAAAATATGTCTGTTTGTCAATATGTGTGTTTGAGTCCTGAATATTACAATCACCTCGTCATAGGAATGTCTTTTCATGTATAATAGCATTATAACTCGTGTGGTTTTACTGATGATGATCAATATTTATTGTATTTGTTAAATAGACGTTATGTTTAAGTTTTCACAACACGACATGTCGTTCTGGCATTCCGTATAATATATCGAAAACGTGAATGACTTATATTAAGTGTGTTTCATGTGTGATCATAACACCCTCTTTTTCAAGATTTCAGAACTTTGAAGAGGACAATATTTTACCCACTTGCTCAAAACTTGTTTCTTTGGTCATCAAATGATTATTTCTTTTAAAATGTATTCAAAAATATAAGTTCCGTTCATTTGAAACCGATTGTTTTCAGTTTCTTTCAATTTTATGTTGCTATTACCTTTACACCCTTGCATCTCTTAAGTGAAATGTTCAACGTTAACTTTGTTTTTATATGATTTTCAAGCAGTGTATTCTGAAAAAATCCACAGATTTCTTTGTTTAAAAACACAGGGAAAAGGTCATTAGAAAAAGAATGTATGCAGGATTTTGACGAATTGTTTTTCAGTACTTCTACAATATCCAATGGTAAAAAAAGAAGATCGGCCATTTCATTTTCATTGTAAAATCGAGACCCTTACATGGTGCAAACTGTTCGACGTTAAAATCTGTGTGCTAGTATGGAACGAAAAAGGTAAACCAGGTTTCTTTCCTAATACATCAGTAAAATGTACTTTTTCAAAATCGTTCATGATTATTTTTGTATTATGTTTCAGTTATATAAATTGTACATAAAATGTGATTGAGTAAATCAATTTTATATGCACATAAAACCGTGACCAGTATATATACCCCTCTGTGATACTTCAGTCTCGTGTTTCAGCCATTATACATAAAGTATCATCCTCGAAATTTGAAAATAGGTTCTCTTACGTTCTCTGCTCCTCTGGAACATGTCAGGAAGAATAAGAAGGTTCTTTACGTGCCACATGTAACATGCAGTCAAAAACTGACCAATATACCTTTCCGTTGAAGACTACAGAAGAGCGACTTTCAACATCCAAACCTGTCAATTTTACCGTTCACTGCCGTGAAATCCAAAAGATACAACGTATACATCGAAAAAGTTTCACGGGAGTGAACGGTAAAATTGACATGTTTGGATGCTGGATGTTGCTCTTCTGTAATCTGCAATGGAAAGTTATAGACCTAAATATTGGTCAGTGTTTTGACACATGGAACCTGCCGAACAGACAATCCGCATGCCTTTGATTTTGTCATGTCACATTCCAGTGGTACAGAGAACGTAACAGATCATAACCCTTGGAAATACGGGGATGACATTATTGTCTTAGAACAAATGGAAAATATATGCTGTAATGATTTGCCCTTAATGGTATTAACTTTGGTTAATTGATATATAATGCCATTTAACAGGGTTGACTTCAATGTAAAACCAATGCTATTCAAGCTCGAAGCAATCAGAAACGAACCAGATTGATAAATATCTGAATTAACAGAATCCTCTTGCTGTGGCACTAGATTTGTAAATATATTTCCTTTTAATCGGAAACATTAAAATTACTGTACGTGTGTGTAATAAATGTCTAATTTATAAAGTATTGGCATATTGTTGCCGTACTATACTGATTGTGATATGTGTGAGAACGGGATGGAAATTAAGAATTTAAAGATGCTTGCGTTGTATTATCAATTTGTTTTGCTTTTCAATTCTTAGCTGAAATTTAACATTCCAAATAAAAAAAAGAGTTATTTACAATCATATTCCATGAAAAATGGTTGAAAAATACAATTGTTTTACTACTGTTTTCGCGTTTGGTTTTTTGTATTTCATACGAGAATGTACATGTATGGTATATATTATATAGTAGGCAACACAGGCCCGATATGCCTCACTGGGCCTTTAAAGCATAAGGTAAATAACTTACTTGAAAATAAAAACAAACAAAAATAAAAACAAACCCCCACCCGGCCGAACGGTAGATATGTTAAATTGTACGTATGCCAGGCAGTCTTAAGTATGAGAGATGTAGAAAAGGTGAAGGCATTGCGATATGGGCGTTAGATCAATTCCTCGTCACCTACACAGGGGACGCAGAAGATAAAGGTGGCCCCGCCTCTTTCGATCAAACAATTAAGGTCAATTATTTTTCATTGATACCTCAAGTGGTTTTATAATACATCAGTACCTGGTATTCTATCTTGAAGGTTCTTGTGATGAAGTCTATTTACAGCAGGTATATATACATTTATTGTCGGGTTAAAACTTGAAATATAGTACGATGAAATGAGTATAGTCTAAAGATCAGTATTCAATAGATGGTAGTTATTTAAGTGAAGCAAATGCAGAGGTTCTGCTGTTGCGGACACTGCTGCTATGTTTTGCAGGTTCGAGAAAATAACAGACCTGACGTAACGTATGAGGCGATTAATGTTAAGCAGAATTGTTGTGTTTAGGGAAATTTAGGAAACAAGAACTGGATCTGTTGCCTCCTTTCTACCACTCGGGACGTCTATGATTGCAATTCTAACCTACCTTTTTTCCATGTACTTTGTCTTGTCAGCAAGGTTTGGTTTGGTTTAGTATTGTTTAACGTCCTATTAACAGCTATGGTCATTTAAGGACGGCCTCCCTGTGTGCAAGATGCGTGTGTGTGTTTGGGAGGCTGCGATATGTTCGTGTTTGTCTCCTTGTGATAGCGCGGAAATGATGCCGACTTTATAGTGCTACCTCACTGAAACATACTGCCGAAGACACCCAGCAGGACACCCCACCCGGTCACATCATACTGACAACGGGCGAATCAGTCTCTCTAGATAGCTCTTGTTTGTCCGTTCTCGGAATAAGGGACCAGGTCGTCTGACAGTTGGCTGTCGTGTCCAGGCTATGACGTGTCAGTGAGGTGCCACTTGAAACTTGAAATGCCCATTGGAGTCCCATTATCTGGGGAGAATAAACAACCACTTAGGAAACAATTTTTAAAATGTTTGGTAAAAAGTCTACACACGACTAAGAGCAGACGTCTTTAGCGTTGTGTAATGATAGACAGGTTTGTACATATATGTCAACATTTTCAGTAACCTATACTGTATATATATATATATATATANAAAAAAAAAAAAACATGCGATGAAGAAATCCTAATTTCTTCCATGAAAAACAATGGCATGTCACGCTTTCAACGGAAACATTATACTAGTATTCACAGCGATTTCTTCTGAATATCTTAACAAAAAGGAAGATCACGATTTCAAAACTTCGTATAAAGGCTATTGTTGTAATTCAGTTGATAAGTTCGTTCTGAAGTCAAGATGTCAACATTTTATATTTATCGATTTAAGAGAAAGCATTTCTCAGTGAATTTTGATAAGTAAAAAAGTCGTTTCAATAGGACCTTAGGTAACCCCATCCTCGATATCCACAATGTTATCACTTTCGCTCTCTACACCCCTGGAATATGTCATAGCAAAATCGACGGCTCAGTGTGCAGCACCTTGAAGATGAGACGAGAAGACTAGTTTGATCCTTTGATGTACATCAAAAGAATCTCATGGTCACGTATCGGTAAAAAAAAAAGACAGGCTTTGAAGTCGGGCGTCTCTCCTTCGTAATCTTCAGAGGACAGGTATCAGCCTAGCGATTGGTCAGTTTTTTTTACCTTTAGACCAATCAAACAGCTATCTTCGTGCCTTCAATTTTGCTATGACATATTCCAGGGGTGTAGAGAGCGAAGTGAGCGTAACCCCAGGAGTATCAGGGATGAGGTAACCCTTACCTCAAGGCACATGCTAATGTGGTTTTTGTGAGCTCACCACTCTACAACAAATGTATGACCGATCTATGGATGCAGTTTAATAGTTATGTTTTAGGAACAAATTATATGTAACTCTGACCATTGGTAAGAATTTTGTGTTAACATTGTTTATAGTTTGTTTGATCACTTACTTTTGCGTACACGTACGCTTCAATTTATATTACAAATATTTTCGTATTCTTGATTAAACAACACCAAGCATTAGGTACATGTACCTGTATGTTATATTTACAACATAAACCCACCATATATTGTGTTTTCAATTCGATTTTGTTAGCATCATTTGTTTTTCTGTTTCAATTTTGCTACATGATTTTTCATGTCTTTACACATTCGAGGTAATCGGTATTTCTTTTTTCTATCTGAGAACAGTTTAAACTATTACCCTGGTTTTATGCTAGATAAACAAATGACAGCTATTCAATAAATACGATATGTCAACTTTTATAACCCGTTCTAGAACAAAGAAATATTTTTATCACAAATATTTTTGGATAGTTTTGATGTGTGGTTTGACAATGCTATTACTTTACGGATAAATTAGTTATGAAAACTTGTAATATAATAAAAAATATAATTCTTGTCCATTATAAATTTCTAGTGACATTATAATTCATTTATGTACAACACGGGCGCAACTTTACTCCTCGTTCGGTACATCACTGTAAGATATGAAATTTAATAATTCAATTGGATTCCTTAGTGTAATGTGAATGACACACATGTGCACTGACGAAGCTAATTAGTCTAAAACATCGGCAGTATTTTTCTCACTAGTTTGGAAGGTTTCAAATTTCATCATTACATTATCCAGTAAACACAGCGCTTGGAAGGCCTACAACACACGTCCATTAACTAGTAGTAATAAAAACCAAATTCTCTCGTAAAACCTTAAGCTCCCATATTGGCGAATATGAAGCTCCGCTTTTAATTACACTATTCCCTAACAACACAGGGCGTCGCTTGGGAGGCCTGCGCACATAACCTGTCATAATGTCGTTAGCAGACGACGTGGGGCAACCCGTTACCTCGTAACTTCATCAACCCAGAGCGAGGCTGAGACAGTCCCACAGCGAGACAGGAGGTGTCCCATAACGAGGCAAGGGCAGTCCCTCTGTCATTGTGTTATTCTTCTAAAGAGCGCTGACGATAAGCGGATTTTCACGTTCTGTTAATGGAAATTGGTGCTTGTTTTTTCTCTCCGTACCTATAAAACAATGCGTGATCGCTATGAAACATGGAGGGGGAGGGGGATAAAGGGAGGATGACAGGGAGAGATACACGAGGCGGGGATAGAACGAGGGGATTATATAATCTGCCTTTCTCTTGCTGTGTTACATATGTAGTACTTACGACGAGACGCGAAGGCGAGAAAATCTAACGACTTCGGTGACCAATATCTAGCCATTTTCCTGCAGCTCGCTTAGATCTCCCTATCACTCTTGATATTGCTATGAGAGGGCCGTGGCGTTTATTGTCTCGAAGTTATTTGTGACATTAGATCTTGAACTCAGAGATTGTTTTGTTATAACCATAAAATATATTGATGAAAATGGTAATAATTTACCTTGTTAATGCTGTTTTTTTTCTGCTAGAAACTCGAGCATGTTTATTTTTTAACTTAACTTGTGATATTTAATTGCCATAGTTACCCTGAACTTCAGGCTTGATACAAATGCTGGCCCTAGTTTCCAATTATTCATATATAATGCCACGATATAGCAAACTATCCCCACATTTTTGTGAAGGTTTAACCTATTAGGATAGCATTATTTTAAAAACATCACTTCTACTGAGCAGTTATGTCGATATTTCACACTCATATTTATATTAATGAAGTAAAACGTTCTATAAGACCATGTAACGTCATAGCCTTAATCCGTCTCGTTTTGCACGCACATTTAGAAGCCAAACTTTGAAGATATTCTCCAGCTCAAATTTTAATAATGTAAATATATATTGAAAAAAAAACTGCTTTTAAACTCGTTAATATAAAAGTAAAAAGCAAGAATATACATTTTAGATACAAAAATAATGAAAATGTAGTTTTAAGGTTAAATATTTTAAATTAATCATTTTTGAAAATTTCAATAACATAACACATTGTATCAATACATGCTGACCAAACGACGGAAGATGACCAAGCTATGGCCTTGCTGTCAAATCCTTATTCGTCTACTTCATGTGTTTTTGCATGATTGTTGTTGTAAATGTTATTATTGAATGAAATATTGTTTAAACGTAAGGTCAAATAATCAACATTTTATACCATGATGTACCTAATAGAAAATCTCCATGTCTCGTTCGAAATAAAATAAATGAAATAAAATAGTCATTATTCTTCTAAATTTTCGTTATTGTGATATATTATTGTTAACATTGAAAGACTTTCATAAATATCAAATAATGAAAACAAAATAGTAATGGTTTGATAAGATGAAAACTAGGGTCTCGGTAACGTTGTGGAACAGTTTACCGTCTGTTACCAGGAAGTCAAAACATCTGGCTAAATTCAAGAAGGATATAAAGACACACCACCTTTTTACGTCTGCATTTTAGGTCCTTTTCGCAAACATCATCTACACACTATATATACATATTGAGATAAGTGTTTTGTTACCTTATGTATAATGCCGAGTCGTATGCCTTTTGTTACTGCCATAACTGTCACTACCATAGGAGTGCTATTATTCATGTGTTGTAGGGCGCATTAGAATAATTTTACAAATAATATAGGATGCTATATAAATGTTGTAAAATATTATTATTATTAACATACAGTGTGCTTATTGCTCTTGTCAGTTCCCAATAAATTAACAGGATTTACGTGTCAAACCCACCCACACTATTTATACCATATACCATAAAGAGCTGTAGTAAATGTGTTTATAACACCATATACGGGTTATCACAGAGAACAACTGACGAACGCCACCTAGACCCGTACCGTAATATACAAAATGTATCTTATTTTTTATTATCATC